TTTGAAATCTTGAGTTACATTTAAAACCGGTCAACAAATTCTTGATTATATCAAACTTTTTAATATTAGCAATACGTTTATTATAAATATCCGGAGACTTTTTTATATATAAACTAAACACACCAAACACATATTCAAACAAAAATTAATAATGATGAATACTAACTGTAGAACAAGTATTACGTGTTAAAATATACATCGATCATGACGAAATCAATAACTTTACCGAATCGGCCGAAAAATTATTCGGCTAATTTTTAACGGGAAATGATTTACGCCAATCAAATTTGCTGCGCCTCCAAAATCCGAAAATTTCGGGTACTAGCGCTACAATTTCATTGGCCAAAAAAATGATGTATGTGATGTTACACGAAACCGATGTACGCAAATCATTTCCCTTTTATTCAATGGATTATTATCTATTATATTAAAATCGTTCGTTTCACGTGAGGGTGGCGCTTAGAATAACTGTATAAATAAATGTTTAATTGAATTGTGTTACATCGTGCTACAATGATTAGTGTCACTCAATCTCACGTTGATTTTCTACTTATTTGTGTGTTGTGTTACATAGTATCACATGATCAACGATTGTGTAACTTCTTATCATGTTGATGTTCTACTTTTACCTAGCATTTAAAAAACTTTAAATTAGGTTTTATTCTAATCGCTTATAGTTTTGCATCGTTTGCTTATTTTTCACGTTATATTTTTTATTCCAGAGCAGCTTTCTATATATTTTTTATTATCAAATCAAAAAAAAGTAAAACTATGGATATGACTCCTGAAGATCATAAAAAATGACTTCACCGGGAATGCCAACAATGTTATCGTGTTAATAAAAAAAGCAAGCTAGCTACTTCTGAAGAAAATAATTTTAGTCGTGTCAATAACAGTGATACAGTTGAAGTATATGCAACTAATCAACTTTTATCTGCAGAAAGTGAGATGACAGCACCATTATACAATGTTGCAAGAAGTGAAGAGTTTGATACAGCACAAAATTTCGTACATACAGAAGATAGAATAAGTATGTGTACCGAAATTACTAATTTTCTATCTTTTTTTTCATCGAATCCAGATCTTAGTACTACTCATGAGGATAAAATACATACTCTTGCCAATCAAACAGTATTTTTCCCTTCAGAACCCGTTCAAATTCCTATTCAAGTTCTTGTTTGATCTCCAGTACACTTATTAAAAGCACACATCTATCCTTGGTCTTCAATTGGCTTGGATCATCATACACTAGAAAATATGGTCATAGATGTCGCAAGTGTGGCACTTTATTGTGGATAGATAAAAGGGTATTAAATTCCTCTGCACAATCACCGGTTTTTACAACATGCTATGCTGGAGGCAAGGTTGTTCTTCTTTCTCTTTAGGAACTACCTCCTCCACTAAATATGCTTCTTACAGGAACAGATCAAAAAGCTCGATTATTTAGACAGAATATTAGAATGTATAATTCAGCATTGTTATTTACTTCTCTAGGTGCTAATATTGATCAGAGCATAACTAGTATGAGTGGTGTTTATAGCTTCCGTATTCATGGTGAAATATATCATAGTATAGGCAACTTACTTCCTGATAATGATAATTGTCCTGAATTTGCCCAATTGTATATCTATAATACTGAGCATGAATTGCGAAATAGGATGAATATAATGCCTGGTCTTGATCACATTATTCTTGAAGAACTTCAACAAATGTTACATTATTTAAATCCTTATTATAGATTATTTAAACAAGCTGGACATATGCTACGTGTAAATTCTTCATTGAATTTATGAATGGTAATTACCGATAATAGAAAAGATGATTCTAGACATTACAATACTCCAACTGCTTCTGAAGTTGCTGTCATTATGATTGGAGATGGTCAAAATGCTAAACCCTTGAAATGAGATACTGTATTGTGGTTGCGTGATGGAGGATTACAAAGAATTTTAGAATTATACCGTGTTTATCAACTATATGTTCTTATGTTTTCCAGGAGTAAAAATGGCTAGTATCCTTATATTTCAACTACACTAATTTCTTTTTCTGCATTTTTACAAACACCTGTAGGTGATAAATTATTTTTGATTGATCATAATACTAAGATAAATTTTACAAGAAAATGTATAAGTGCTATGAATTATTTTGCCTATCGTCTTCATCTAGATCGCCCAGGTGAACCAGTAGTTTTACATCGATTCAGACATCTTTTCTAGCAGTAGATTGTTGATATGTATACCATGATAGAACAAATGTACTTTAATTATTTGAGATTTAATCAAGATAAACTATATTCAGAGCTATATAGTGGGCTACAAGATGCAATACTTGCAAGAGATGCTTCAACTCCAACTACAAATATTGGTCACCAAATAATCTTGCCTTCTAGCTTTACTGGAGGATCTCACCATATGCACCAACTTTATCAAGATATAATGGCTATTGTGAGGGTATATAGAAAACCTGATCTTTTTATTACTATGACTTGCAATCCACAATAGTCTGAAATTATTAACTCTCTTCTTCCAGATTAAATATCTCAAGATAGACCTGATCTTATTGCTCGGGTTTTTAATTTGAAGTTACGCACTATGCTTAGAGATATTTTAAAAGAAAATATTTTTAAAAAAGTATTAGCCTACCTTTATACTATAGAATTCCAAAAACGTGAATTATCTCATGCTCACATCCTTTTAATTCTGGTTCAAGAACATAAACCAAAAACAGTATAAGATTATGATACTATTGTCTCTGCTGAAATTCTCAATAAAGATAGTGATCCTTATACTTACGATACTATCATACGATCAATGATTCATGGTTCTTGTGGTAATTTTATGCAAAATGTCTCTTGCATGAAAGATAGGAAGTGTTCAAAAAGATATCCAAAACAGTTTCAAGAACATACTGCTATAAATAACGATAGTTATCCTATTTATAAGTGAAGTAATAATGGGCGTACTATTAAAGTCTGTAGAGCAATATTAGATAAC